GGAGCGGCGCTATAGCGCGTAAAGTCCAGTGACACCTCCTTTTTTCTAGTCGACTCCTGCCCCAGACTCCGCCCTCAGGGCCGCCTTTCAGTGAAAACGAAGCTGCAGGACGAAAAACCATGAAAATCGTTACTTGTACGGTCTTAGAGTTGTTATATCAGCGGGACGAATGCGGGCGTAATGGTGGAAATAGCGTTAACTGGAGCACTTACGAAATTTCATAGGAATGAGGTTCTATCTAGGGCAGTTGGCATGTTTTTTCTGCTTTTTTCCTTCACTATCAAGTTATCAGAACCTTGTCGTCTATATGCAAACCCCTAATCCACTATCTGTCATGGCGAATGATCGCGAGCTTCGCTCTTGAGTAGGCGGTATTGATAGCTTTGGCGCAACCCGGATCCAAGGGCACCAATACAGCTAACAGAATATTCTGGAATGAATCTTATTCAATTTACCTGCACTAGGTATCTAGTTTCCTTCATAACGGAGTATTGAGAGTTTTCCAAACGTCTCCCTAACAACTTCAAGTTGATATAGATGGCCAGATACATTACGATCATTATACATGGGATAGCACAAGAATTGATATAAATAAACGGAAAAAAATAAGCTGAACTCGTTTAGGGATGAGATCACTATAAAAATAGCCTACTTCTTTGAAACGATTGCCGACAGGCTCAGTTCCACAGTCGAAATAAAAATAGAATTCTATAATATGCATAAAATAAACGAATTCACGAGAAGGCATCAGAAAGGGAAATTCACCTTCTTTGGAAAATTTTTTACGACAACCGGCTATGTTTGACCCAATGATGTAGGAGAAAACGTAAGCCCACACAAGTAGCGATAAGCTGGAAATTGTAAGATCTAACTCGGGAGTGAGAGAGACGTTACGAAAGAACAATGAGATAATATAATATACTCCTAGGTATATATCCCTCTCCACTTACATTCCCCTTTTTCAAACTATATTCACCACTTTCCAAATCATGCTCAAATCTTGCTGCCTTTTGAAAACAAGTTCACCACAGTTTAAACCGGACATTCATTTATAAAGATCAGCTAGGCAAACGAACGGAAACAGGCAATGTTGTTTTGAGGAGACTCTGAGCTACTAACCATAAGTACCAAGGCTCATCTACTATTCGAGGCTTTTTGCGGCTATGGCTTCCACAGAGTGGGCGGATCTTTTCAGGGTGGGCGGAGTTGCGCATAAAAACCCAGCATTATGAAAGAGGGGGAAAGATCGAAGTTAGCAAAAATAAGCAAAAGGGGCGCGATTGAAGGGGCGGTGCTTGGTGTGCCAGCGCATGTATGCGCGACTGTGAGTAGTTCCCTGTGTGAAGGGTAGATCTGAAAAAGCGAGGTTGGAAAAAATTCATGAAAATTTGGGATTCGCAACGAATTCTCTAGAATGTGAGCTTAGTCATCTGTGTGTCGGTGTGTCATCCTTTTTTAAGCCAGTGGGTTGTGCCAAAATAGCAAAAATGCAGCAAAGAAAAACCAGGAACAGGTCAATTAACTGTATTTCCAACTGTGTCAACATACTTTTTCTCAATCAACGGGACGATATCAGGTACTGTATCCAAGAATGTCATGTAATAAAGTGATGGCATTATTGGTCTGGTAGGATGAAAGTTATTTGTAAGTAACGCCATTTACCACTTGCAGTATTTAGGAGCTCTCGTTTGGTCCAGCCAAATGAGAGCCCCTATGTCATTCCTATGGGGGAAGCTACTTCGTAGCAGGCTTGCGTGAGAAGATGAAAACGCTCACCTTTGAATTGACTGCCTCCCGCAAAGGAGTGTGCATATCATATTCAAAGTAAGTACGAGGTTTAAACGAAAGTGAAGTGCTGCACAGTTAAAACCACTTGACAATATTGAATGTTTTAACCTCCGGGCTCCCGAGACCAGGGCGAAAAGATTTGAATAGTGTCCTTACTCTGGAAATTTTGATGTTCCACCTTCCTACCACTTCTTTCTGCGCTTTTTTCTTTGCAAACTCCTCAGCCTTTCCCAAAAAAAACCACCGTTGAGGAGTGGAGGGCTGATGCATATAATGTTCGTCTATCGGGAAAAACCGAGAAAAATTCACAGCCGAGAGGGTTTTTCATAGAAGCAAATACTACACTATCCCTTCAGCAATCAACAAGGCTCCCTTCGCTGCGGATCCCCAACGTATCACGTGCTCTTTTAGATGAAGTAAAGCTTCTGCTGGCACTTGTATGATCTATGGTAGGCAGCGACGCGGTGGATGGTTATGAATAAGTTTTGGCCTTTCAAACAAGAGATTGGTTTTGTTTGGGTGATTTTTCAATTTCACTTTTTTCAATAAGCTCCACAGTCCCATGTCGGTTCCAGAGCCTTAATAGCTTTGGAAATAGGTCCAATGCCAAAGTGGCTGCCCTACGGCAATTTATTTCTTCATTCCGTCCTAACGACGACTTCACGCCATCAGCTCAATTTTCTTGGATAACATCGGAGCGCTCAATCTGAGCAAGACAATGTTTCCACGTGCAAAAAAAAGTAAATGTCTAGGAATGCCGTTAAAAATTCGTCACTACGACTTCATCTAGTTTGCTTCGCTACTGAGCTGATATTAATGTAGGATTTAGTTCTGTGCAAGTTTGGTTCGTTTCGCTAGTAGCACGGTTGATTGGAAAAACTCACATCTTTGTTCCTTTTGTAGTGAAAATTACGTTATGTACTCTTGGAAAAATGAATAGTAGAAATCGATTGACAGTAAGAAGTAGCGAGAGATTGTATATGCCATTGAAAGCGATTCCTTCGAATACCAACGGTATGTAGTAAAGAGCCATACTGTCTCCCATGTACTGAAAAAGACTGGTTGCCCTCAGTAATTCCATTCTAGTGAGAAAGATGAAAGACATCGTGCCGCAAAGTCACAGCTTATATACGGTGCGCCATAAATAATATGGTGAAGCAATATTTGTGGTACAGAAAGAGCATGAGCTGGACAGCGCATCGCCCCATTTGGGAATCTACAGCACGCAATGCAGTTTGGAATGCTTCAGATGCACACAGTGCTTTCTGAGGAATTTCCTCCCAGATCCTCTCGCTTGGCTTCTTGGCAGCTTCAAGTATGCTTTATTTCAACAAGCAGGTTTCCTTCTATGGTACAGAGGTGGGCACAAATTCGTAAGGTTGATGTATGATGACTTGCCAGCAGATCAGAATGACAGGTGATTTCGGAAACACTGACTGGAGCATCACACTTGCCTTTTTTCTCCTTCCTGGGAACTTCATCCCTTGGAACAGTTCAAGTTTCGCGAACTGAATTTTCCTACGCAGCTATCTTTTCGCAACCACTCCAGATGTGGCCCTTGTGGCCGATTTTGACGCTTCACTTGGCCAAAAAGGGCGATATTGGCTAGATAGCACGTATTTCAGTCGAAAGCGTTTGCAGACGGCAGCAAAAAGCAATCCGGCTGTTCTCATCCGTCTCTGGACTCGTGCTAGCAATCATGAAACTGTCCCATGAGTTGAACTTCTCGGCCTTTGCTTGAATAGCTTTTCTTTCGTTATGGGTGCGATAAGTGCGCGCCGCTCACCAAGAGTGTGCGACACGCCACCTTTCTCTCGAGATGCTGCCTGTGAGGAACTTCGCAACGTTTCTGGAACTGGGAAGGATAATGTCGTATCTAGTCAAGAGCAACAGAGCCCAACGTAGTACAAGTGAAAATGAGATTAACAGTTATTTCCAGCTTAGCCTGATATCGCTTCATGTTCAATTCAGACTTTAAGTCGAATTTGCTTTTGACTGAGTTATGCTCTACAGTGCGAAGAACAGTGCTTCGTGAGCGTTAAAGGCAGTTGGCACGATAAATCCCTAAGATAAGTGAGGCTAAAGTGCCTGGCAGGACGGAATTCCGCGACCCTGTGCAGGCGCTGCATAGCGCCTTTCCAAAGAGAATACCCTTATAAGGCCCTATCAAGCTACAACATACCGACCCGGACGCCCACAAATGGACGACCGTACCTGACGCTCGTACTGCTTCATTTGCGAAGTAAATTATGAAGCGAAGGGATTTATATGAATGAGTGTGGTTTTGCATGGATATGTGAGTGCATACATGTAGCCGTACCTACCGTAGCGGTTACTGGCACGATGCCAACGGGAACGTTGTACGAATATTTTTGAGTCACTAACAATAGAAAGGAAGGCTTTTCATCGCAGGTTTTCGACCGTTTCACTTCGTTTTTTCGCCATTTTCCCCACTATATAGCGCCCTGCTAGCATTTTAGGCCGAGTACCAAATTATCGTGCCAACTGCCTTCAAAGTGACGAGACGGCGATAAAACTACCAGAAGCGAAAGCGATCATTCATGGAGTGTTGATGCGAGGTGAAAGGAACTTGCCCGCTTCATAAAAACTAGCGGTGAGAACCTCATGAAATGCGTATCCGTGTACAAAGGTAAGCAAAGCGAAAAGAATAAAAAAAGGTGGGAGAGAATCTGCACGCGCTATTGTTTATGGCGCATCCTGTATATTAGTGACGTTGATAGCTCACTAGTTTCTCTTGCGCTATAAAAGGATAAGAATTCACTGAATAATCCCTTCTAACCTGTACTCCAGTTAGTGTCAGTGGGAATGCGAAAAATAGATCCAGCGTGAGAGCACAAACATCACACCACATCAGCTGTAGTGTAATCAGTAGAAACTATTCAATTTGAACGTTTTCCATCCCTACAAAGGCAATGTTTTTTTCCCTTAATGACTAATAAGAACACAGTGAGTGAACGTACTGAATAGAGCGCAATTCCTAGCAGTGCTTGCAATACAAAACCACATAGGACAGGCACCAAAATCACCAATGAAGCTAAGATACGGATAGTAAATGTGGCTTTGACGTCCATAAGTTGCTGATGTCACTCTGCAACAGCACTGATCGAATGAATAAGCTTCTCCGCAAGCTCGGTTATCTAGAGAACTCTAGGCGATTCTTCTTGGCCAAACCAGCACAAGAAAACCTAAACAAACGAACGAACATGAGGCAAGTAATGAGGAACAAATTATATTACGCCCCCTTATGAAGAATGAGAGAACTGATGAGTAATTGCCGTAATTATTCGCTAGCTCTTCCTTCAACTTTTCATAAATAAGCAGTTTTCTTCGCAGTCATAAAGGCAGCAGATTTGCTGCTTTTCAGCCCGCTTTTTGTGGAATGATAACGATTAATTGTCTTTTTTTACTGACAAACGCCAGTTTGTACCGCAAATGGTGAACTCAAAACGTGGCCTCGCCTCTTCACAGCCACTCAATTACAACTTCTGATGCCATGATCTCGAGCTGTGTTACTCTGCTGCACAAAACTCAGTTGCCGCTATCCGTATTGGCGAAACCGCAAAAGAGAGCGCTATTGTTCTGAATGAAAAGGGGAGGCGTTTTCATGTAGTCACCGACGAAAGTGTTTTTTCCGACAGGTTTTTCTTTTTTTTACATTATTACCCTACAGTCTTGTTTGATGCGGATGATAGAAAGCCGTGCAGAGGAGTGGTTGACGGCGCGGCGAAAAAGCCAGTCCCTTGGTGACGCGCCCTATCATCTTTCCGTTTGTGGCAGGTGGCAGCGACCAACTACTGGTGGTAAGACCGTGGTGCGACGGCCAAATGTCCCTGTGACAGAGCCCTCAGCGAGCGAGAGTGCATCTATCATCCTACCCCCCCGCTTGGCTACACAGTGTTGGGTAAGTTTGGTAAAGCTTCCGATTACCCGCGGAAGTGTTGTACGATGGAAAAGTAGGGGAGACTGTAAATTCTGTAATATGTTGCCTCTGTTCGGCCAACGCGAAATGATTTGCCTTATACGCAAAGTGTTCAGCGAATATCAAAGCTGCTACGCCATGATCCCGACACCCGCGAAACGGGGTGCGCGTGTGAGCTGTGATCGTTGAAATAATGTGAGAATAACCAGAAACAGGTGTTCCTATCATTAGTGAAGGACTATGACAATATTTAGTGGATATTGGCCGCAGTGGCTCCATGTAGCCTACCGTCATACCCCTACTGTTTGCAGGAATCTTGACTGTTTTTTTTGGGCAATGGACTGACAGTTCCATAACGCTAGATGGATGGCGCTAAATGAAAAAGGGTCGACTAAGGGACAAGTAAATGATAATGGGTCAACTGAGGGACATCATGCTTTAGTGTTTCCAAATAAAAGCGACAATTTCACGAAATGTTCAAAAGGTTAGTGGTTTCACGACTTCGATCTAGATCTTCTGGCCTGTGATTTCTTACCGTGGTGAAGAATGGTTGCTGGGTGAGTGGGTTCGATGACAAACTCTCTAGGCTCCAAAGAAGGTCAGTTTTGCCGACGTTAGTACAATAAAGCATCTGTATCAATCTGGGAGGCACAAGAAGCTCTGAACTATTACTTCTCTGATGCCGAGAAAAATCGAAAGCCCATCGTGTTATGTTCTGAAAATTTCTATTGGCGCAGTGAGACTCAAAAGTTCAACAGGGAGCAATTTTGAGGACCTGTTCCATGGTGGATAATTCATTTGTGGCGTCCCTAAGGGATGTTCAAGGTACACTTGGTCAGAAGACCTTTAGAAGTAATGAGACCATCGAATATTGGCTGACGCTGTTCCGAACAGGAGACACGGGCCCAAAGTAAGAGTTAGGAGGGCCAAGTGAAGGGAAAGACTAGGCTGGTACATACTTCATGATTCCATCTCCAACTAACAAGGTCGTCTAATCCTAGTGTGTCCCATCAAAGTCCTATAAGAAAAGAATTACAAAAAGTGCATCGAGCTCAAATGAATAAATGATAAAGTCTTTGCCACTGATCAATCCCTTTTTGGGATTGGGCACGCACTCTCAGGGTACAGCATGGGGAATGGAGGTGTGAGTACGACCCCCCCTCGAAGAGGGTCCAGTTACGACCCCCCCCTCCTGCTCTAACTGACAACCAGATGCATGTTCACACCAAATGGCTTCCTGAAATGGAATCTGGATTTTCGAAAGGCGGACTCTGCTCTAAAATCCAGGCAATAATAGGCTAATTGTAGGCAATGCGAGGCTGTTGTTCAGCCTCATGCGATATGAGGCTGAACAACAGCCTCGCATTGCCTACAATTTTGTCTTAGGATTCAAAATAAAACTCGTCGTTCGACACATGTATGACATGCAACTTGTAACAAGGAACACAATCGAAACAGCGACTAATGGTGATCATTGATAAGCTAAATTGGTGAAAAAATAGCCCCAAGGTCAGTGTGTCAGGCCCCAGATGTGCATTCAATGAATGGTGGAAATCATGAAAACATGCACGACACAACAAAGCGAAACATGAAAAATACAAAAAATGCGAGCTAAATGAAAAAAGGATAACCAGGCGGCAGTACATCGTTCTATACTTGGCTATTACCGATCGCAACGTTGCGACCGCTTTCATTGGAAAAACGTCATTGGAGCGCGGTTGTTGGGCCTGCCAACGTCCTGGGGTCTTTTCGGGGGTTATATCTCTTTGTTTGTTTAGTTTACGCTTTTGTTTACGCCGTAATGAAGAGCGATACATTGGTAACAATTCCTCAGGAGCTCGAAATCACCGTGGACAAATGTTGGCCGACTTTTGTGAGGAAAGAAAGCTATTTCTTGCTAACTCGTTCTTCAAAAAGAGACTTGACGATCGGTGGACATGGCGAAATGATGCCTTGGGACTGAAGAAAGAGATTGATTATGTATTGTTGAGAAGTATGAAGGGCGTTGTCGATGTAGGAGTGCTCACTAGTGTTAACACGGGGAGTGATCACCGCATGTTAAGATGTAAAATGCGTCTGAATCCGATCTCACAACCAGTAAGAAGACCAAGAGGATTCCCCGTTATCGACAGCGACTTATTGTGTTCAACCGCTCAATGTTTACTACATGAAAATATGATGACTGGCGATACAATCAAAGATTATGATACCATTACTCGCGTCATAACAACAGCTACTCAGATGTCCACAAGGTATGAATATCTCCCACCACGTCTATCACCAAGGACCCGGGATCTCCTCCAGAGACGACGAGAGCTACGTCACGGAGATAATGGGAGGGGAATCGTGGAGTATGCTGAGATTTGCAAGCTAGCCCGAAAATCTATCCAAGAAGATTTGCGACAACGTCATATTCAAATATTATCCGTGCAAAGCCTCGAAGTCCGAGACGCCTTCAGACAGTGGGGGCGCTATGCAAAGCTTTACATGCCAAGAAGATTCCTTGCATCTGAAAGAAACCACCTCCTCCCCTCCTAGCGACCCCTCCCCATCAGATGAACCTTTTCCTGATCACGTGTCGCAGTCAGTGAAAGCAGTGAGAAATTTTTATAACGCACTGTACCACTCCTCCTTCGGCCCACCCACTCCACCATCAGGCCAAATAAATCTGCAGGTCTACAATAATGAAGTGCAAATGGCAATGAAGAGAAGCAAAGCACGTTCAGCTGCTGGTTCCGATGGCATTCAATCCCCTTCTCTTCGTGCTCTTTCACAAATACTCGCCTTACCCATAACACATTTTTCAACACATGATAAGGACAAGGTTGTGCCTGCAAGTTTTGCATTCGCTCACACCATTCTACTCTACAAAGCTGGGGACCCATCTAACATCGCTAATTACAGACCAATATCGCTGCTGTCGACGCTGTATAAGGTGCTGACAAGAATATTTACAGCGTTTGACACGCCAAACAATGAGGAAAGTCAATTCTACACCGGGCAGGCTGGTTTCCGCAAGCACTTCTCGACCATAGATCATATTCACACTATTAATATGATTACCGAGAAATGTCACGAGTTCAATATAGAGCTATGTGCCGTTTTCGTCGATTTCAAGAAAGCCTTCGATAGCGTGGAACTTCCAATGATATGGAAGCGTTGAGAGTATTTTGGTGTGGAGGAGAACTTGATAATGGCCATACAACTGCTGTATGCACACAGTACCGCTGCCGTCAGAATAGCGAACCAACTAGCAGAGTTCAATCTGCAGCGGGGTGTAAGACAAGGAGACTCAATGTCTCCAGTTCTCTTCACATTAGTTCTCCAGTACGCTGTAATCTGATTATAGCGAGGCGAAGATAAGGAAAAACTAGCAAAAACTCGCTGTATATAGCTTTGTTGATGATATTGCTTCTCGCTGCATTAAGTTGTGTGAAGATATTGGAATAATGGCAAAAATGTTGGCCGATGCTGCGGAGAAAGTGGGACTCACTATTAATTTTATGAAGACGAAATGGATGAGATTGAGTAAAGCCGATCTAGGAGATATCGACGGTCCCTTATACGTGCAGGAAAATGAAATCGAACGAGTCGACCATTTCAGTTATCTCGGTCAAAGGAAATCGTTCCCGCGAAATCCTAAGGATGTGATCCATAGTCAAGCAGCTCGTGCCTCATACTTCAAGAACCGACTGTTCCTTCGACAACCTCGAGTGGAAATGAGTTTGAAACGAAAACTTATCAATATGTGTATCCTACCAACAGTGTTATATGGTTGCGAAACATGGGTATGGACAAAGGAAGTGGCGATGTGCCTCAGAACAGCACAAAGACGTTTAGAAAGAGCCATAATTGGAGCTAGGCTTTCGGACAAAATCTCATCCAAAATCCTACGCAGAAGGACATCGCTGAAAGATTGGGTGGTTTCGGCACTACAAAGAAAATGGTCCTACGCTGCGCGTCTCTCAGAAGGTCCCCTCAAGACTCTGTCAGGCTCGAGTGGCAACTGACTGGATACCACAAGGAAAAAGAGGTCTCGGACGTCCCAGAACAAGATGGCTGGACGACTTCGCTCGTTATACTGGAGCAAGGACCAGAGACATGGGACTGAAGATGGACGACATTATTCACCGCTGCCGGTTCCTCGAGAATCTTCGCACAAATGATCAAAAACACTCTATTTGGTCTGTGCGATAAAGAATAAAGTATAAGAAATATTAAAGTATATATCTCTTTGAGGGGCTCGGCTTTTGATGAATGGTTAGCAGCATGCAACGGAAATGTTCCTACTGTTGCGTTTTCTACCCAGTTGCAATCTGAATGTGTCCCCCGACTGGTCAGGTTCGTGAAATATTTCGGATGGGTTTCGGATCGGCTAGGGGTAAATGGCAAGCGGGTTTTTATGCTTCACACGAGGATTACTTATTTCGAACGCAATTTCATTGCAGAACA